AATGCCTCAGAGTAGAAGGAGCTCCAGTCTTCTGAATCCACTGACTGACTGTATGATCTTGGGCAAGTTATGTAACCTCTTTGAGCCTCAGATTCCTTATCTCTAAAATGGGTGGGAAAACAAATAGGATAATTTTTCTAAGAGCTGGGAATAGGATGTACTTGTTACCTCATCTGTATCATCATCTAGCAGCTCTTCTTCTGTCAGGTGGTGCCCTGTACCTGGGAAGCCCAGCCATCCTCTTCACCCTGGCTTCTCAAAGGGGGGTTTGGAGCAAGCAGCTGTTGCCTACAAGTGAGGCAGAAAGGTGACTTACCAAATCACACTCTTCACTTTAACCAGACTCCCAGGGAGATGCCTTTGCATGCTAAGTTTGAGAAGCTCTGCAGTCTCAGTGGGTCCAAGCAGGCCCTTGCAAATGAAGACCCTTCAGGCTTGGGCCCTCACTTAATACAGTCTCCTTGATTCTTTATTCTGCTGTTGCTTGGGCTTGAACTCAGGGCCTTGTGTATACTGGGCAAACTCCATACTGAGCTACACCTCCAGCCCAACTTCTTCCTCTCTGATTGCCTCCTGACTCCAATCATACAGAAACAACTGCTGTGCCCATGTAACAGCGCTCATAATAAAGTATGCACCATCTCACTTAATCCTCAACTCTAGGAGTGCTGTTCTCCTTTCAAATGAAAAAACAAACAAACAAACAAATATCCAAGGCTAAAAGAAGGAAAAAATCACTTCCTAAGATCACTGGCTAGTCTGTAGTGGAGCCAGGATTCAAACCCAGTTGAATTTGGGATGGTCGAATTCAGAACTAAGATTCATTCCTTGACCAAATTCTAGCTAGGCTCCTCTGGGGCCTTTTCTCAAGCTTGGCCTATAAAAATTGCATTTGCACATACTTTATACCCAGGAAGAGACTTGAGCCAGCACTGACAGTGCTCCTATCAGCTCAAGGCCTCATCCAGGAGAATCCCGGGTCCCCTTAAAGCATGGTCTGAGAAAGTTCAAAACTGTCACAGACGTTCCCACTGACTGCAGACAATATCTGAAGATAGGTGGGCCTGTCTGCAGACTCTTAATTTCCATAAGCACCAAGTGGCAAATCCAGATGGGTTTCATGTGGACCAAAGTGCCTTCTCATGCCCCCAAATGCTTAATCTGCCATCTCCACACAAATCAAACTTTTCAGTTCACGTTGCCTTCCCTCCGCCCCCGCCCCACTGCAGTCGTATTGTAGAATGAAACCTGTCCTTCCCACTTTAACTAGGCTTGGCTTTGTTATCTTTAACAGCTCTTAACTGCATTATCTATGTAAACTGATAACAACAACAACAAAATCTCCATATAGAAGAAACTCTGGCCCATATTACTTATCTGAGTTTATCATAGGGTTGGGTACCAGGTCATATGTGTTGATGGAGGGGAAGAGTCTATGCCGATACTGACCCAGGGAGCTCTTAGAGATAGAAATGCTTAGCCAATGTTTTAGCCCCAGCTCACAGAGTGGTTTTCCAGGCTTAGCCCTAGCACTCCACATATCCCTGGGGAACCTGAAGCCCTGCAGTGGCAGAAAGCCACACTAAAACATCATGTGCCGGGCGTGGTGGTTCACATCTTTAATCCCAGCACTTGGGAGGTATAGGCAGGCAAGATCTCTGTGAGTTCAAGGCTGCCTGGTCTACATAGCAAGTTCCAGGCCAGCTGGGGCTACAAGGAGACCATGTCTCAAAGAGACCAAAAAAACCCCCCAAAACAAAAAAACCATCATGAGTCCTGAAGCCTGCTCTCTCAGCACTGCTCTCTCTCTGTGGCCTTGAATGGGCCCTGACCAGGAAGGTTGCCTGGAGTTTAAATCTCTTTCCAACCTCTTAGGATTGTTCTGGAATCATCAGCCTGTGTTTGTAATCAGTTTGAGGAAGTACAGGCAGCCTGTAATGCTAAGCTTGCAGGAGGCAGCGGGAAAATGAGGAAGAAGTAGAGGTGCATGCAGGAGCACTCTTAACGGGACCCTGGGAGTCCCAGGTGTGTTGCTATAGAAATCCAGCCTGATGTTGGCCAGAGGGCAGCAGAGGGCTTGTGCTCCCATCCTTGTTTTAGGATAGAACACTGTGGTGAAAGAGGGAACTGGCAGGATGCTCTGTGCTGCTCCTTTCCCAAAACAGGTTGGGCTATGCTGGGACAAATCCCATAAAACTGGTCAGACACGAGCATCACTAAACCAAGCCCATTCACACTCAGGCCAGTATGCTGGCACACACACTTCCATGCTGGGGAAGCACCATAGCAGTCACCAAGGTTTGGGCCACAGGAAGACTAGAAGAGGAAGTGGGGAAAGACCCTCTTATTCTTTGGGTCCTTCCCTCTTACTTTGTGTCGCATCTAACCCCTATTCCTTTTTATTTTTTCAGGAGGTTCTTTGGAGACCCAAAAATTGTTACATTCCTTTGGTTCAAACCACCTTTATTCCTTCTCAGTCCTGGATAATGAGAGGGTCATTCATTTATTGTGTGTGTGTGTGTGTGTGTGTGTGTGTGTGTGTGTGTGCGTTTGTATGGAAGCCAGATGACCACCTCAGCTTTTGTTCTTCAGGAGCGGTCCACTTTTTTTTTTTTTTTTTGGTGTTTTCTTGAGACAGGGTCTCCCTGTAGTCCCAGCTGTCCTGGAACTCACTATGTAGACCAGACTGGCCTTGAACTCACAAAGATCCGCCTGCCCCTGCCTCCCAAGTGCTGGGATTAAAGGCGTGTGCCACCACACCCGGCCACCTTTTTAATTTTTAAAAAGATTTGCTTTTAAATTATGTGAATATGTGTAAGTCTCTGTGAGGGTACAGGTGCCCATAGAGTCTAGAAGAGAGTGTCAGATTCCCTGGAGTCACCTGGTGTGGGTACTGGGAACTGAACTAAGATCCTGTGAAAGAACAGTACATGAACTTAACCACAGAGCCATCATTCTCACAGAGATCCACCTGCCTCTGCCTCCCCAGAGTGTTGGGATTAAAGGTATGCACCACCACACCCTGCCTGTCCACTTTTGTTTTTTTTTCTTTTTTGGTCTTTTTGAGACAGGGTCCCCTTGCAGCCCCAGCTGGCCTGGAACTCACTATGTAGACCAGGCAGGCCTTGAACTCATAGAAATCCATCTGCTTCTGCTTCCCAAGTGCTGGGACTACAGGCGTGAGCGACCACGCCTGGCTTTACTTTGTTTTAAGACAGGGTCTCTTATTGGCTTGGAACTCACTAAGTAGGCCAAGCTGGCTAGCCAGCCTCAGGGATCCCACCCATCTCTGCCTCTTGTGATCGAGATGGGCTTACAAGTATGTGCCATCAAGCCGGGTGTGGTGGCGCATGCCTTTCAAGGCTAGCCTGGTCTACATAGTAAGTTCCAGGCCAGCTGGGGCTACAGGGAGACCCTGTCTCAAAAAGACCAAAAAAAAAAAGAAAAACCAACTCCCCCCAAAACAAGAATGTACCATCATACCCAGCTTTTTCACATGGGTTCTGGAGATCAAACTCAAGTCCTCATGTTTGTACAGCAAGCACTTTACTAACTGAACTATCTCCCCAACTCTGGAAGAGTCTTTTAAAAACCCAACTGGAGCTGGGTGTGGTGGTGCATGCCTTTAGTCCCAGCATTCAGGAGGCAGAGGCAGGCAGATTCCTGTGAATTTGAGGCCAGTCTGGTCCACATAGTGAGTGACTTCCAGCCAGTTGGGGCTACAGGGAGACCTTGTCTCAAAAAGACAAAAAAAAAACAAAAAAAAAATCCACAAAATATTAAAAAAAAAAACCCACAAAAATTCTATAAAAGACCCCCCCCTTTCCAGCCCCCCCTCAAAACCCAAACTAGGAACTGGGGAGATTGCTCAGTGGGTAAGGCCACTTGCACTTGCCACAGTGCTTCCAGCCCTTGAAGCAGCAAATCTGAGAAAAAGGGCAGCAAATCTAAGGGAGATGTGGGGTGTCCCTCAACATGGCATCAGAGTAAGGTTAACCTTAAAGGGCATGAGAGACATTCTTGGGGTCACATGATATGCCAGGTCATGACCCCTTTCTTTTTATAAATCCCCCCCACCCCCAGGCCTGAAACAAAAGTGAGACTCAGGCTTCTGGGATCCTACCAGTTTGCCAGTGTGTTGGCATTGTGCTGGCAACGAACGGCAGTGGGTATGTCACTGACCTTCTTTCAGTAAGTTTCTCAGGTGTGGTGGAAGACCTGTATTCCGGGCTCACATGGGTGCAGCAGACCTAGAAAACTGTTCAAGAGCCTTTGGTGATTGTGCACACTGAGGTGCATGGTCCAGAGTGCAGCAATGAGTCCACTCAGGGAACATGGTTCCCTCAAGGTCAAGTCTGCAGTATAGCAGAGGGGGATGGCCCCTGCCTAGCCTGCTGCCCTGAAATGGGCTGTGATTGCATCCCAAGGCTGGATCCTCCCCGGGATGGCTTATCTCTGCCTGGACTCATGGGGCACCTGCCTCTCCAAGACCTCAGACTTCACAGAGGTGACCGTTTCCCCAGCCTCAGGAAGGAAACATTACCCTTCAAACCACAGCAGCATCTTGCTTGCCCCTGTTCTCCAACATGATGAACAGGGCAGGTGGTGGAACATGGCAGTTGTTGGGGTTCTCTCACACCCCAACAGCCTGGTGAAATTTTGTGCATCAGAGTATGGAACTGTGCAGTGAGGGATGTGAGGCAGCACTTTGGGAGCCACTGGGCTCCATGGCATCCATTCCCTGTGTGTGGGGCAGGTGCAGGGAGGGGGCTGAGGAAGCAGGAGAGGTGAGGAACCATTGACACCTGTGATACAGGGACTGCAATAGTCTTTATTCCACATGCCAGTGGTGTGGCACAGAATATTCAGTGTCTTCTGTCCCCAAAGCCCTTTCCAACAGAATATCTGAATCAGATTTGTGATATGAGCATTTATTTATTTATTTATTTTTTTTTTTTTGAGACAGGGTCTCCCTGTAGTCCCAGCTGTCCTGGAACTCACTAGGTAGACCAGGCTGGCCTTGAACTCACATAGATCCGTCTGCCTCTGCCTCCCAAGTGCAAGTATTAAAGGTGTGCACCACCACTCCCAGCATGTGATATGAGCATTTAAATGAAGAAAATCAGGTGCCAGTGGAGTTATGAAGTGGTTTCATTCCATTCCACAGGAGCATTCACTCTGGCCCTGAACTGTCCCTGTGCTTTCTGGGAGGCCCCAATGCAGGAGCTCTACAGTCTCTGGAGACAGCATAGCACACAGGTGTCCAGACACCTACAGCCTGAAAGAGAGGGAACACAGGTTGACTCTGAGGAATTAAGACTAGCTCCCTAGGCCTGCACCCAAACTCCCTTCCTTTGTGCCTGAAATGCAAGTTTGCTGCTCCTCCAGAAATGCCTTCTTGGGGGACCCCAGAAGGCTGAGTTCAATGTCCCAGATAGAGGTGCTGGGCAGGGTGCAAGGATCACACATACCATGCCTTTCCAAGCACACCATCTATAGTCTGGGCGCCGCTGACTCCTGTAGTCTTGCAGGAGTCTTCAATTCAATCTTGGCCACTGTTTGCTGGTGCACTTCATCGGGGCCATCAGCAAAGCGCAGTGCTCGGGCCCAGGCAAAAAAATGGGCCAAGGGGTAGTCACTGCTCAGGCCTGCTGCTCCAAAGGCCTGGCAGACACAAGGGAGGAAGGAGAGGAAGCCCTGGGTCAGTGCTAGAAATGTCAGGCTGCTTGGAACAGTTGGTGACAGTGGTCTTGTCAGAGGTGTCACCTATGATGACTGTGTGATATAACTTGTGTTCCAGAAGACTTCATGTGGGGCCATACTGCCCTCCTTGGACACCTGACTCACTAAGTCTGTTCTGCAACATGTCTTGTGCTACCAGGAAAGCTCTATGCTGGACCAAGTGTCAGGAGATGGGAACGAGGCACCCCCACAGGGTTAGGCACTGGTTTGGGTTGCAATGATCCAGTCTCCTGTGAGCTTAAAGCCAGCTACTTCCAAGCTGAATGGGCCAAGCAGGTCATTTACTATTCTGAGCCTTGATTTCTTCATCTTCAAAACAGGGGTAGGCTGTGTGCAGTGGCGCACACCTTTAATCCCAGCACTTGGGAGGCAGAGGCAGGGAGATCTCTGTGAGACTGAGATCAGCCTAGTCTACATAATGAGTTCCAAGCCAGCTGGGGTTAGAGAGGCCCTGTCTCAGAAACAAAAAAAGCCTCCCCAACAAAAGCACAAAAGGGGAGAAGACCCCACAGAAGTTTATTTTGAAGAGAAAAAAGGAAAGTGGCAGGCACAGTGAGAGCAGTCCAGGGCAGCTCACCTGGATAGCACGGTCAATCACTCGATAGGCCATGGACGGAGCTACCATCTTAATCATGGCGATCTCTAACGCTGCAGCCTGAAAAGAGCAGGTGGAGTCAGAAAGCACACAGGCCAGCCTGCTGGCCTGTTTCACAGGGAAGAGGAAAAATACAAGCCAAATTGAGGCCCCCCCACAGAGTGCTAGACTATTAGGGTGGGCACTGTAAGCAGGCCTGATTCAGAGTGGAGAAAGAACAGATTCTGTTGCGATGTGTTCTGGGTCACAGCTGGATCCAGGGAAGCTGAGGGGCTCTTCATGGGAGAGCACTTGCCTAGCGATCACAAGGCACCAGAACTGACTCCCAGCACCACAAAAACAGCAACATCCAGCTCTGTCTCCAAGCAACAATGGACCAAAGCCAGAATGGCTCTGCCTTGGGCCTGGGCATTAGAGTGAGGTGCCTACAAGCCTCCAGCATGAGATCATCCAAGAACCAGGAGCTATATTCCTGGGGCAGCCCTCATCTTGGTGTGGGGTGGGGTAGAGTTCCCTGCATAGGAAGTTAGACAAGACAGGATGTTACCGTGGGCACTGTATCCAGGCAATGCTGAAAGAGCTCTACTTACGGGGCATATAGCTCTGGGAATAAGCCCCTACACTGGCTAATTCTACATTTGGATCAGAGCCTGTGGAATCTTTTTCCTTGCCTGTCTCCTTCTGTCTACCTCCTGCACCAACATCCCCAGGAGTTCAGGGCCAAGGGCCTTCCGAGGGGCCATATGGCTCCATCAAGGCCTGCTGTCTTAAACCAGGGTCATCAGTCAGTAGAAGCTCAGCTTTGCCTGAGCTTTTTCTAGTTTTGAATAGCTGATGAGAGAGTTCCGAGTAAAGCTGAAGCAGTCATTAATGTCAAAGTGTGCAGGAGCATTGTCGACACCTTACTGAACCGAGTGTGACCTCAGGATGATGTCTGTCATCTGTATGGTCCTCTCCCAGACTTGTACCTTATTTCCTGCCACATCCATGAGGTGGGCAGCTTTCAGTACCAGCAGCCGTGCCTGATCAATGTCCACACGTGACTGGGCAATGTCTGCCAAGATGGTGCCATGTTCCACAAGGGGCTTTCCGAAGGCCACTCGGGACTTCACCTATGGACACCAGAGAGACACAAGCTGAGAAGCTGGGCAGTGAGTGGCTGTGAAAGGCTCAGGAGCTGGTGACCTGCAGAGGTGGAGGGAGCACACACAGGAGAGGACAGGAGAGTGCAAAAGGAAGAGTGCACAGTCTATGTGCCAGCTCACCAGGGAGCTCTAGGCAGATCTCAATGTAGGCAACATTCATGCACATGTGAACTTAAGGCCTAGAAAGAAGCCACACTATAGCAAACACTCTACAAGGCTGATTGACTGATTAGAACTCCAGTGTCTGTGGACAGGTTAGAATGTTGCAGGTCCAGGGTCAGATTATCCTGGGCTATCCTGGCCCCTTAAATAGTCATTTATTGCCCATCTCTGGGTGTGATGTATCATCCTTATGACTATTAGGTAAATCCTTTCTGGAATGCATAAACAGATCTCTATCTTCCACAAACCCAAAGGTGAAGAATGTTATCAGCCAGCATCTGAGACCCACAGCAGAGGTCTCCCCACTCTGTTGTTACCTGCCTAATCTGATCATCTCACCAATGTATCTGAAAAGTGTTTTGGGACTTTCTTTGTTCAGGACTATATGAACTTCACAAAACTCTTGCTACACTAGAGTTCCTGGGGCTATAAATTTGTGTTCCTGGGCCAGGATCACTCATACTTGGCTTCAGAATAAACTATCTCTTATCCCTTTTGAGGTGAGAGCTGTTTTTTCTGCTGACATATACCACATTAAGCCAGAGTTCTCTTGGTAGCCAACTGATGCCCAAGAACCTTTTACTGAAGCTCAGCAGCACTTCTGGGCAAGAGGGAACAGCTCTGAGCCAGCACCTGAGAGAGGAGGAACTGTGGGAGCCTCCTCTAGGAGCAGGTCGCCCCTGCTGACCACAGCCAGTCTCATACCCCAGTACCACCCAAAATGCAAAGGTTTGTTTTAAAGTGTAAAGGCTACAAACGTCAGAGTAAAAAGGATTCTTCTTTTATTTATCTTTATGAAAGTAATTTTACACAAATAATAGATTTTGTGGCAGAACTGTCAATTCTCAACACCTGGTATCCCACTATCTAATCACTCATCATGATAGCAGGGAGCTCTGGCAGGGCACATAGCACATCTGTACTTCTAACTATTGGGAAGGTTGAGGTAGGAGGGTTCTGAAGTCTAGAGATGTGAGGACAACCTGAGCAATATAGCAAGACCCTCATCTCAATATATTTAGATAGACAGGTAGATAGAAGGGCTGGAGAGAGGACTCAGCAGTTAAGAATGTTTACTGCTGTTTTTATAGGAGTTTGGTTCCCAGCACCACTCTCTAGCTCCAGGTGGATCTGATGTCTGTGGTCTCCTTAAGCACATGAATGTAGATTCATGTGCACTAACCCCCTCCCTACTTAAAAATAATAAAAAGAAGCCGGGCATGGCGGCACACGCCTGTAGTCCCAGCACTCGGGAGGCATAGGCAGGCAGATCTCTGTGAGTTCAAGGCCAGCCTGGTCTACATAGTGAGTTCCAGGACAGCTGGGGCTACAGGGAGACCCTGTCTCAAACAGACAAAAAAAAATCAGTTTTCAGTGTTGTATACATGTAGTCTCAACACTTGGAAGGTCTAAGCAGGAGGACCAGGAATTCAAGGTCATCCTTGCCTAAAGAAGAGTTCCAGGCCAGCCTGGGCTACATGAGACCCTGTCAGAGAGAGAGACACACACAGAGACAGAGAAAGGAGAGAGAGAGAGAGAGAGAGAGAGAGAGAGAGAGAGAATTTCCATAATATCTTTTGGGAATCTCACAGCAATGCCCACATTACAGATGCCTAGCCAGTCACCCACTGTTGGTCCTGTAGGCCGCACCTAAACTTTTGGCATTAGAGTAAGTTTTAGTGTGACCCTCCTGGAAGCAAACCTCTTTCTGATTCCTGATTACTCCTTCTGAGCCCTGAGCAGAGTTGCTATGTTAATACTGGCACTTTCTGAGGCCAAACTGCTCTGTTGGATGCTGCTTTGAGTTTTAAGGCTGTGTGGGGCTAGCGGACCATAGAAAGAGCATTTTTCTCGTCAAGAACTGGCCCATCTCAGCCAGAAGTATGTAAATGGCAGGTATGTTTGGGGATCAAGATGCACCTGATGGCTTCTGTGCTTTGTGTAGCAGCTCTTGAAAAATAGCCATTTTGGTATCAAGGGTTTGCTTTATCTCTGTGAGGTGAACTCCTGTCCCTGGCAACAGTCATTCTACATAAGACCTCTATTCTTTGAGAGATTCATAGTGGAGGACTTCTTTTGCTATCCAGGCTGGCTTTGAACTTTTAGCAGTTCTCCTTCCTCAGCTTTCTGAGTGCTGGAAATATAGACATAAGCCACCAGGCCTGGCCTCAGATTATATTTTCTGAACATGCTAGGGGAGAGAATGGTTCAGGACAAGTGTTATAACCCCAGGAACAAAAATGAACTATGTGGCTCTTCTGAGTGTCTGAGGTTTAACCATGTTCTGGCTTTTTAATGAATGGCTCATGGCTGCCCATGACCCTGTAGGCTTTGGATCCTTGCCCTCAGCTACCACAGAGCCTGGCCTTTGACCTCTGGTCATCTGAATGGAGGGGGCCCATTCTACTCCAGAGATTAAGCTGTGGCCAAGAAAGCAGATGCAAAGCAGACAGGGACGCAGCTTCTGGGTGTGAACATTGTCCTGTGAGGCCTACTCTAAGAAGGGCACTATGGTTTGAAATCCCCCAGCCAGCTACAGTGGCTCTGAGTCAGTTGGGGAAAGGGGAGACTCACTCGGGTCTTCATGAGCGCCAGGGCCCTCTCCGAGTACCCAATCAACCTCATGCAGTGATGGATCCGACCAGGCCCCAGTCTGCCCTGGGCGATCTCAAAGCCATGGCCAGGGCCCAGGACTATATTTTCCTTGGGTACATGCACATGCTCGAACCGAACTTCACCGTGGCCCCCTGAAAGACCAAAATGCATCACCCAGTGACTGGCCTTCCTGTTCCGCTTGGATGTGCTTATTCCTTGCTTCAGTTTGGGCTATCTGCTGGCACTATTTCTGCCCCTTGGTTAGCCTTCTAACTGGGTTATGGCTAAGGGGTGGGTCAGGAGAAACCTATTAAAGATGGAAAAGGAATCACTACTTTATAGTGGCAAACAAATATTTTGCCATTCTTTAATTTATATTAAAATTTTTTATTACATTTATTTATTTTGTGTTGTGTTATGTGTATGTGTGTGTGTATGTGTTGTGTGTGTTTATGTGTATGTGTGTGCACAGCACACATGTGAAGGTCAAAGAATACTGTAGGGGTCAGTTCTCTTCTTCCACCGTGTGGTGCTAGGGATCAAACTCAGGCTTGGCAAACACCTTTACCTGCTGAGCATCCGATAGGCCCTGCCCTTTCCTTTTGTACAATGATGAAGGCTGAAACTCCCAGTGTGATTCTCTGGAAGTGCCAGAGGTGAGAATGTGAAAGCTGTCATAAGAGAAGATCCATTCCTTACACATGGTAAGGGGGCCAAGTGGTGCTATGGTCTGAAAGTCACTAGACAAGGTCTAGAGGGTTCTTCCTGATCTGTGTGGCTTTGCCCTCCTGGCTTTCTGGTCTCATAGACTTGTTTATCCTCTGGACTTGGAAGAGGAAAAGCATGCATAAACATCCATGGGAAATCTGCTGTTTGGTTGATGTTCCTTATGAAATGAAAGGCTGAACTATATTTTACTAATGTCATCAGATCTTGGCATAGGAAAGTTCTGGACTGAACAGGGCTTCCAAAACCACTGCCCAAGCCAGAACCAGTGACCAGCCCTGGGAAGTCTAACCTGGAGCATCGTCCAACCCATACACCGTCAGAGGCCGGATGACTTTGATTCCTGGGGTGTCCATGGGAACCAAGAGTATGGACTGCTGCCGGTGTCTTGGGCCCTGTGGGTCTGTTTTGCCCATAAACACACAGAGTTTGCAGCGTGGATCCAGGATGCCTGCCAGGAAAGAAGAGAGAGGAGCTCCATCAGCTGATGCCAGGGCCATTAAGCCTCTGTCCACACACAGTCCTGGCCCATGAAAGGCAAGGCTTGATCTCCTCATTCCCTGCCTCCACCAACAGGATGCAGGGATTACAGGCACATGCTACCATACTGGGTGAGTTTATGTGGTGCTGAGGATCAAACCCAGGGCTTCATGCATAGTAGGCAAGCACCCTACTAACAGCCACATCCTCTGTCCCTGGCTAGCCTTTTTGAGGCACTCACTGAGTGCTACCTATGCCAAATGTGTAACAATTATGTCAAAAGATACCCAGCTAGCAACTGCATTCATGAAAACAAGCCTAAGAATTCACTATGATGAAGAAACTGGTGATATAGCTCAGGGTAGAGCACTTCCCCAGCATATATGAAACCCTGGGTTCAGTCCTCAGTACCGCACATAAAAAATAAAATAAGCCAGGTGTGGTGGTGCATGCCATTATTATCAGCACTCAGGAGGTAGAGACAGGTAGATCTTGGTCAGTTTGAGGCCAGCCTGATCTACATAGCAAGTTGCAGGCTAGCTAGGACTACATAGTGAGACTATTTCAGAAAATAAAATGGGGGGTAAGGTGGGAACAGGGGAAAAATTAAGGCAGTTTTTCTATTTTCTTCTATGTCTGAATTTTTACTATAAATGTGGGGATATAATGAAAGTCAAATGCTTCAGCAACAAAGTTTCGTGAGTTCATTTTATAACAACTAAAAGAAAACCTGTAGGGGTGGTAAGATGGTTCAACAGGTAAAGGCACTTGCTGCCAAGCCTGACGACCTGAGTTCAAACCCTAAGCCTCAGGTGGTGGAAGGAGAGAACTGATTCCTGAAAGCTGTCCTCTGAGCTCTACATGCACACCCACATACACAATACACAATAAATAATAAAAATATAAACAAACCTTTTTTTTTTTTTTTGGTCTTTTTGAGACAGGGTCTCCCTGTAGCCCCAGTTGTCCTGGAACTCACTATGTAGACCAGGCTGGCCTTGAACTCACAGAGATCCACCTGCCTCTGCCTCCCAAGTGCTGGGATTAAAGGCATGCGCCACCACACCTGGCTTATAAATGAACCTTTTAAAGTGTTCTAGAAAATGCCAGCATTTGGATTTTTAATTCTATTTTTTGGTTTTTCTTTTTTGAGATGTGTAACCTAGGCTGGTATTGAACTCACTATGTAGTTGAGAATGACCTCGGACTACTAATCCTTCTGATTCTACCTCCCAATTGCTATATTACACTGTGAACCACCATGTCCAGCTAATATCTGGAATTTTATTTTAACTTTTTTTTCCTAAATATTTTATTTATTATTTTTATTTTATATCTCTGAGTGCATTGCCTGCATGTATGTGAGTGCACCCAGGTTGTGCAATGCCATGGAGGTTGGAAGAGGCTGTTGGATCCCCTGGGTCTGGAGTTATGGACAATTGTTAGCTGCCATGTGGGTGCTGGGATTTGAACCCAGGTCTTCTGCAAGAACAACCAGTGTTCTTAACCACTGAGCCATCTCTCCAGTCCCCCTGGAATTTTTAAAATACATAAATTTCAGCCTGGTGTGGTGGTACATACCTGGAATCCCAGAACTTGGGAGGTGGCAACAGGAGGATCCTGAATTCAAGGCTAGCCTGAGCTACATAACAAGTTTGAGGCTAGCAGGGCCTACATACATTCTGTCTCAAAAATACAAAAAGCAAAACAGAAAGTAAATTTCTCATTTACAGAGGAAAAAAAAAGGATGTTTCAAACTGCTACTTCCTTCCTACAGAGCCTGCCCTGCTGTGTCTTCACAAGTGATATAAACAATGGCTTTGGGCACAGGCTTAGGGGTCAAGCAAATTCTGAATGCAGGGTTCCCTACCTGCCAGCTGGGTACTAGAACTTAGGTAAGTGATGGGTCACACTGAGTCCTCATTTCCTCCTATGAAATGGGATGGTGGATGGTGACCCCTAGCTTCTGGGAAGTGTAGGGGCCCTGTGGATTGGGGAAGAAAGAGGCACTTGGGAGCCTCTAAGATATAATATACATGACCTTGGGTCTGGGGGAAACCACCAAAAGGAAGCTGTCTGGGGCAGAAGAAGAGAGGTAAGTGATGAGATTCCTGGAGTTCCGCAGCTGCTACCATAGGTATGGTAGTCTAGTGATACCTCAAGGGCCCCCACAACATAGTGTATCCGCTGCAGTGCTCCCTTGTCTTCTTGTCCCAGTTTGTGTAACCTGGGAAAGAAGCCAGGTTGTACCAAGCATCAGCCCTGCTTGATACAGACTTATGTCTCTGAAAAACATATTCTAGATCAAGTACCTGAGATCCACCACTTGTGACCATTTAAGACATAGGAGCCACCTTCCTCTGTGATGGAAGCCTCTATGTTGGAGGCATCTGATGAAGCCACCTGCACAGGAGTACATTCTGGTTAGAGCTACCAGTGACCTACGTTCCTGCAGGCAGAGACCAGCTGAGGCCCAGTCAGTGGAGATGGCATGAGCAAGGTACCTGGGGCTCAGTCATGGCAAAGCAGGAACGGATCTTGCCCTCCAGCAGTGGCACCAGCCAGCAGGCCTTCTGCTCCTCGGTGCCATACCGCACCAGGAGCTCCATGTTCCCCGTATCTGGGGCAGAGCAGTTAAATACCTGAAAAGAAGAAAAACATATCGGTGAGTCTCACATCTGTGTTTAGAACTTCAGACTCCCTGGAAATGGTGGGGCAGGACTCCTTCCACATCACAGATCCTCTGACAACTCAAGAAAGTTCTTCCTCTCCAGAGAAGGTCCAGACACACACACACACACACATGCCAAATCTCAGATCCCCTAGAGCCCATGATGGAGCTCCTCTTTGAGAGAAAGGGCCCTGGAGCCAGAGTGTAGAGGCCTGTGTCTGTGGGGGAATCCCCTGCTGAGCGTCCCTGTCCCTGCTCCAGCCAGCTGCCTACACTTTCCCTCCCCTTGGACAGGAAGTTTAGGTTCATGCAGTGCTCCTGGATCAGACTTTCCACGTGCAGGAGGGCAACTGGCAGTGTGGGTACATGTTCTCACAGGCTGAGGATACTGGAGAAGGTACCTCAGAAGCATACAGGGACATGCCCATGACTTCACACAGATGTGCGTACTCCAAGTTGGTCAGCCCTGCTCCATATTTTTTCTCAGGATCCGTCTCCAAGGGTAGGAAAAGGTTCCAAAGTCCTTCAGCTTTGGCTTTCTCCTGTCATGGGAAAAATAGGGACAGCCACAACAACTACATCTTATCTTGACAGGTGGAATACAAAGAGATCAGAGGGAAGAAAGTGGCAGTCAGGGGTACAGTATGTGCCATAAATAGTGCTGGGTCAGAGCCATCAGCTGTGCATAAACTTGTACATGTGGGTGGGTGACATAAACTTGAGAAGGCCCTGCAGAACCAGCAGGAGCCCATGGTGATAGGACTGAATTCACCCCAGGTCTCCACATTCCAGAAGCTCCCATGTCTCACCAGGATTAGCACTAGTACTGTTGTAGCTATGAATCTTCCTGGAACATGCCCAGTGGTTGCTGATGGGGATTCCTCACCCAGGAACTCTGTATGGCAAATGAGGACAGGCCCTGAGCAATCTTCCTTTCTACAATGAGTGGCTAAGTAGGGAAGACCTGCCTGCTGTAGGCAGCACCATGTCCTAAGCTGGAGGTCCTGATGGAATAAAAAATGAAGAATGAAGGAAGCCCTCAAGCACTGTGAGATGAGCTGCTGTGCTTTGCCACATGTTCTTGACACTGTGATGGTCTACCTCACCACAGGCACACAGCAATGGAGACAGCTACCACGGACTGAAATTTTGAACCAAAATAAATCTTTCCTCCTTTTAAGCTGCTCTCTCAGGTATTTGTTAGAATGACGAGAAAACTGTAAGATCAGCTAAATTTGGGTTACCACAAAGCACCAAAACATAGTTGACAAATGCTGAGCTCTCTGGCTTGATATTGTGATTCTAACAGTATCATTATCAATACTGTATAATTTTCAAATCTGCATAACAGATGCCTATCAGTCCCCATGAATCTGCCTGAACTAAACCACAAACAATATGTAATTTTGAGGCAGGGTCTCATGTAGCCAAGGTTGGTCACTATGTAGCTGAGGCTGGCCTGGAACTCCTGATCCTCCTGCCTCAACCTTGCAAGTGCTGGGACTACAGGCATGCAGCACTGTGCCCACTTACCACTCTTCTTTCACACCTGAGCTATCCAGTTATGACAGGGTGAAAACTGGATAATAGAAGCTGGCTCCTTCTTACAAGGAAGGAAAACCCAAGTAATTCCATTCAGCCCTCTACCCCTTTCTCTGGGAAGGACACAAACGAGCTCTGCAATATGGGTAGGGTGCCACGCTGACAGTCTCCTTGACTCAACAGCCTTCCTTACCTTTAGGTCTTCTATCAGAGGAGAAGGGCTCCATCTCTCAACTGAGGTCTGGTGTCTCTGTAGCTCTGGTTCCACAGGGTACACGTGCTGCTCCATAAAGTGCCGCAGCCGGTCATACAGCTCTCTGACCCTAGGAGAGAGGCCCTCTGGAGAGATGATCAGACCTCCCTTTGCCTCATAAGAAGCTTCTGCAGCAGAGCTGTAACTCCTCACGCCAGTGGGATTCAGGAAGGACTGAGGCCCAGCCCGGGTGTGGAGAGATCGTATTAGCGGTTTGGTGGCTGGCATCTCTTTGAAAACATGGAACCCTTCTTTGACTGCAAAGTCCCAAGCTAGGTCAGACATGAACCAGGTGAGCTTTCCGCTTTCTTTGGCCATTGCAGAGCTTGCCTGTCCTAAACAGAATGAAGGGAAAACTGATTACTCCTAACCATCCCCACTGGGTGACAGGAGCCAGCAATATTCTGCAGCAGCCACTACCACTGGCTAAGCAGCTGCTGTGCACCAGACTCTGTACTGAGAATGCAGCTCCCCTGCACTCCCAAGGCAGCACAACTGTCTGAATCCAAACTTTGTGGACAAGGAAACTGATTGGTGGCCTGGGAACCAGAAGTCACTCAAGTCTGGTGGCCCCTTGCGCCTTGCCATTTCTTTCCAAAAGAAACTAGAGCCAGCTGTGGTCGTGCACATCTTTATCCCAGCAGAGACAGGTGGATCTCTGTGAGATCTAGGTCAGCTTGGTCTATATAGTGAGTTCCAGGCCAGCTGGGGCTATAGGGAGACCCTGTCTCAAAAAGACCAAAAACAGGGGCTGGAGAGATGGCTCAGCAGTTAAGAGCACAAACTACTCTTGCAGAGGAGGCAATTCACTTATACACATAAAATAAAAATAATAAATAAAATATTTTTTTAAAAGAAGACCTGGGCATGCTGGCGCACGCCTGTAGTCCCAGCACTTGGGAGGTAGAGGCAGGCGGATCTTTGTGAGTTCAAGGCCAGCCTGGTCTACATAGTGAGTTCCAGGACAGCTGGGGCTACAGGGAGACCCTTCTTCAAAAAGACAAAAAAAAAAAAAAGACCAAAAACAAAAAATTTAATTTTAAAAATATTTTTATTTATTATTTTTATTTTATGTGTATGTGTGTATTGCTGCATGTATGTAACTGCATCCCTGTGTTGTGCAATGCCCTTGGAGGTCAGAAGAGAACATTGGATCCCCTGGAACTGGAGTTATGGATGGTTGTTAGTCACCATGTGGGTGCTGCGAACTGAACCCAGGTCCTTTGCAAGAGCAGCCAGCACTCTTAACCACTGAGTCATCTCTTTAGCTGCTGTACACACATACTTTAAAATGCTTGAGTTAATGGAATATTTTTGTTTTTTATTTTTTTGGTCTTTTTGAGACAGGGTCTCCCTGTAGCCCCAGCTGGCTTGGAACTCACTATGTAGACCAGACTGGCCTTGAACTCACAGAGATCCACCTGCCTCTGCCTCCTGAGTGCTGGGATTAAAGGCATGTACCACTATGCCTGGCTAAATTAATGGAATCTTATACCATTCTGGCCAAACCCATCCCTCCAATGGGAAGGCTTCAGGTGGCAAAGTTGTCCTGGCCGAGGCTCACCATTAGGCTGGTCATCACTTACCTGTAAGGGACCGCTTATAGACTCCTTGTAGGATTGCAGCCACACGGAAAAAGGAGAAAGCCATGTAGAAATTCCAGTTCTCTATGGGTGGGATGCCCATATTGAGACAGTACATCCTGAAGTACTCCTCCGCTGTGGGGATTCCAAGCTTTGTCACATCCTGGTCCCTGAACCCTGAGGTTAAAGAGAACTGTCCTAAGTAGTATCCTCATTCCCCTGTGGCTAGCAAGTCTGAATTCTGAAGATTACTGTGTCCCTTAGCAATTACTTTGATTACTATAGGGTAGCTTATAATTTCAAGGCTCTTCCTCTACCAGATGGCCTGGGATCCAGGCATGGAGCTATTACTCTCAAATTGGTCTTTCAAGGTTTCAGACCAAATAAGCTGTGAAGAAAGAAATGTAACCTCTGGTTCCCCCCCACCTCAGTTCACAGCAGATGGGTATCATCCTCAACCAATCATTTGACTGAAATCAGCCCTGGAGGGGCTGGGGGTGAAGCTCAGAAGTACAGTGCTTGCCTAGCCATGAGCTAGGTCCTGTGTTTGATGCCCAGCACACACGCACACATGCACACACATACAGAGTCACTGGAAGGGCAAGCTCACCAAATTATGAAATGGATTATCACAACAGATAACCAGTTTCACTGATTTGCTTCCTTTGTCACATTCTGATGACAAGAAGCATGAATACAGAATATTCTTAGGAACTGACATTACTAAACGATGTTTAATGCATTATTTATGGGGTTGAAAGGGAGGCAACACTTAAGTCAGAAACAAATTAAGTATTCAAATAATAAATAAAAAGGAATTAAATGTCTCAATTCTCTATGATAAAAGCTACTGAGACATTGCTAATTAAGCTATCCAAGAAATATTTAATGAACATCTGTCCAAGGTGTACAACCAGGCCAGGCATGGTGGTACATACCTATAATCCTGCACTTGGAAGGCAGAGGTAGGAGGATCTCTGGAGTTTAAGCCCTGCCTAATCTACATAGCAAGTGCCAGGCAGCTAGGACTATATAGCAAGACTCTGTCTCAAAAAATAAAGTATGTGGGGCTAGAGAGGTGGCTAAATAGTTATAAGCACTGGCTGCTCTTGCAGAGGACCCAGGTTCAGTTCCAAGCACCCACAGGGTGGCTAACAACAATCTGTAACTCCAGCTCCAGAGAATCTAATGCCCTCTTCTGGCCTCCACAAGTCCCTATATTCACATAGGTTCATTCCACTCCACAGACACACCCTTATACACATAATTAAAAAATTTTAAATATCAAACCAAAGTATATACAGCTAAGTGGAAAAATGAAATCATAAAATTATACAATCATAATTTTTTTGTTTAAAAAATAAGCCAAGCTGGGTGTGGTGATGCACACCTTTAGTCCCAGCACTTGGGAGGCAGAGGCAGGTGGATCTCTGTGAGTTTGAGGCCAGCCTGATCTCCATACTGAGTTTCAGGTCAGCTGTGGCTACAGAAAGACACTGTCTCAAAAAGACCAATAAATAAATAAATAAATAAATAAATAAATAAATAAATAAGTCAGGTGTGTTGGTATAGGCCTATCATCCCAGCACTCAGGAGGTAGTGTCAAGGAGATCAGAAGTTTATCAAAACTAGAAAGCCTGGATTACATAAGATCCTGTCTCCAAACAAAATGACAAAATAAGAGAAAAATATAGACACGCACATAGAAGAAAAGGTGATAAAGCAAGCCTGGGGAAGTTAATATACCTTGTTTCAAAACCTGAAGCAAAAAGCAGGCTAGAGATATAGCTCAATGGTAAAGTCCTTGCCTAGCATGCATGAGGTCCTAGGTTCAATACCCAGGGGTATTGAAAAAGGACCAAACTGTCCACTTAGCATACAAACCTGCACTTACCAGACATTCCAATGGCACTATTTACCCAAACTACTAGGACCTCACTTTCAAACCCTGGCCCAGTGCACCTCTTCAGCCAGGTGCACTCCCCAGTGTTTGCAGAATGGAAACAGTTCCATCCCAAGGGCAGCTCCTACCTCTCAACATGGGAAAACTGGATGGCAGGTAGTGAGCCAGGCAGCTGTAGGCAACATCGGCAAAGGGGTCGCCTAAGGTAGAAAGTTCCCAGTCCAGGACGGCAAGTACCTCAGCCTTTTCAGGATGAAACAGCAGGTTGTCGAGCCTGAGAAACCATAGTAGGAATGGAAACAGCTGAGGACACAAAGTTGTGGGGTATTCTGGGCCATTATGATCCATTTGTCCTTCCAGACCTGGTCTCTAACGAACCACATGCTGTTCTGGAGCCAGTCTCCAAAGGGTCCCTGGTCCTCTGACTTGCAGCTGGCTTCAATTACAAGCACTAGGAGATGGGAATGCTTGGCTGTTTATTCCCCAGCTTCCTCACTGGGGAAAGTTAAGGGCCACAGTTCTAGCCAGGCAGCCCTCTTGTAGTTACCCACTGTGATGGCTCTAGAGCAGGCCTGCAAATTCTTTGGCACACTTGCCAACAAAGGTCTCATTTAATTCTTTCCTCTACGAAGCACCTAACGTCTAACAAATATAAAATGGAGGGAGTTGGTGCTGAGGGATTCCCTGAGCTGGTGGAGGTCAGTGAAGGTGACATAACTTCCTGGGTACACGGGCCTTTCAAGCCCTGAACTATCAGATAATGCTGGAATCCACAAAGCACAGAAAGTAGCCTGAAGAGCCCACCTCTGCCCCTGGACCATCAAACCTGCAGATCACTCCAGCCTCAGCCAGAGAGCTGTCCCTGCAGAAGCCTAAGCCCACTGTCCTGTCCCCAGACTGCAGACATGTGACAAAATAATCCATGTTACTGTTGCCAGCAGTGGGGCCTTGGAGCAGTTTGTTACATAGTTTGTTATGCTGGCCCAGGCAGAGCTGGGTAGTAAGGAACCCTACTATGGACAGCCCCCGCCTTCCAGGCCGTTCAGTGGTCCCTCAACCACACTGTACCCCGGGATTAAACCTTCTCTGATGGTTTCTGAGTCCTGTTTCCTGCCAGAACTCTAACACATGCTTGATTTAAAAGAAAAAGTGATGTCAAAAATGCAGAAAATACAGGGAATAATACGTAGAAACCCATGTACCCATCTCCCAGCTTTCACAGATGACACACCTGCTTCTTTGCTCTGTTTCCTTCAAATCTCTAAAACTCTCTAAAACATAAAACACCTCATGTTTAGCTAACAGCCTCCCTCCCTTCCTCACCCTTCCCCTCCCCCTCCTTCCCTACCTCCTTCCAACTCTCCCTCCTTCCCTAACTTCCTAAGCAACTGCCACTTGGACTTGGTATGTATTCATCTTAGACACTTTCCTGTTTCTCTTAGCTATGCACGTACTTGTAAACCATTTACAGCATTCTTTCAAGCCTCTTTAAATTTGTATAAATATTGCACTGTCCATATCCTTTGGAACTTAATCTTTTCTACTCAGCATTACCTCCTTGAGATTTATTTTTGATGATTCATGTAGCACAAACTGCTTTATTTTATCTGTTAAGCAGAATCCCAACATTCAACCAAACCACAGAGTTTACCACATTACAAGCATCAGCAAATTTGTTGATGCAAGACTCCTCAGAGGTGAAATTAAGGGTTGGCACATGTTTGCTTTGTCTACATTACTGGCTCTAACTTTTCAAGCCAGTTATACCAGTTTCATAGCCCCCACCCCCTACCCTGTGCCAATATGCACCTGTTAACTCACTCTGTTCCACCTAGCAGCAGATGAAAATAGCTTTGACTACACACAAGTGTTGATCTCTAAGGGGAGCATGCTCTGTAGAGTCAGAGGTGTTTCCTGACAGCATCATCAGACTTCACCACAGCTGAGGAGGCCTCAGACCACTTCTGGCTGTCTTTGGACACTTGAGGTGCAAAGAATGGCAATGATAAAGGCCATTGAACAGTAGTGGTTAGTGGCATGAAGGTCACCTGCTACTCTTCCCCACCAAAGAGGAAGTGGGCAAGGTTTCTGGAGGGGTCAGCTACAGCCTAGCTGCCCGGTCTGATCAAGGCAGTAGGGGGAACAGACATGGTCCAGTCAAGAGGTACAGAGGGGACAATCCTGTGGTACAAAGCCTGGCCTTTTGCTCTCAGATTCAGGGTGCCACTAAAGGTACCTATAGGAGGGAACCAGGAGTGGATGCCACAAGTCAAGCCAGCTAAAAAAGGCCAATCCGATTTGCAAAGTGAAGAAATGTCTCTATAATTAGTCTTTAGCTTTGTTCAATAAAAGGTATAGCTGCGTTGAAGGTGTAACTCAGTTGTAGAGTACCTGTTTAGCATGTGTGAGGCCCTGGGTTCTATCCCCAGCATCTACATAATTAAACAAATGCATGAAGGATGGGTAAGAAAACTACCAAATAGGTTGGGGACCCAAATAAGATGTGTAGGTCAAAATCTGGCCTCTGGATGCTTCTGGGAAGCAGAAAACACAATGAAAGTAACCTAACTCTTCAAGAGCAAAGTTCCCAGCAGGGGGAAAGGCACACTCAGGTTTGAGTGAAGGCCAGGCCACAGATTCAGCACACACCCCAGGAAGTCACATCTACTCTCTGACCTCCCTTCAACTCCAGGCACAAGAGGAACATCCAACACTGACCTCCTAAGAAGTGAGAGACACTCTCATTCCACCTGACCTGCAACAGCCGTTCCCTACCCAGAGAGATGTGTCCTCACAAGGCACATGGGACAATGTCTGCAGGCAGGTTTTGATGGCCAGTTTGGAGGGGGGCTGCTGCAGCCTAACTGCTTGATCTCTCCCTTCAAGGGCCCTGCACATATTTCCCACTCAGCCCCTGGCAGCCATGCCTACCTGAAGTCACCATGTACCACTGTGGTTCTCTGCTGCTGGGGAAGGTGCAGTGGCAGCCACTGGATAAGTCTCTCCATCGCTGGGATGGTGCTAGTTTCTGCCGCTCGGTACTGCTTGGTCCAGGTTCGTACCTGGCGAGGAAAATAGTCCCCTAAGGGGAAGAGGATTAGAACGTAGCATGATTCCAACCACCTCCAAAAGCTTTGCAAGTTAACCAGAGTGGTGAAAGCCTCAGAAGTGCATGGTAGAATGGTAGTACTGTCTTTGCTCTCACTCCTGTGATGAGGATGGGAGGGTGGTGGAGGGAGGTGATGGTGGAGGGGTGGAGGAGAGGAGATATTCCTGTGTGATGCTCCTGATGCCCAGTGAGGAAGTCACTAGCCACTTTGCCTTGGTGGGTTCAGTATGACTTGGTACATTTCCTAACCACAAGTTTTAATTAAGCTTGGCTAAGTATAATAGTGATAGGCAAAGAGCATCAACTCTAGAGTCAGACTACCAAGGTTTAAATCCCAACTCTGTTACTCCCTAGCTGTGAGAGCTCAGGTACACTGCCTAACCTTTCTGTGCCCTACTTTCTTCCTCTTAAGAGAACCCTTTAAGAGCCAAGGGAAGGCTAGAATATGTAAAGCTATTCGGGAAGCTGAGGTGAGAGAATCATTTGAGACAAGATAAAGGCCAGTCTGAGCAACATACTGAGACTCCATTCCCCCCCAGCCCCCCTCATTCAAAACACTTTTTTAAAAGGGGCCAGGTATTGTGGTGCACCCTGAAATCCCAGCATTTGGGAGTAGAAGTGGGAGTTCAAAGTCATCCTCAGCTATATATCTAGTTCAAGGACAGGCTGGGGTACATTAGTTCTGTCTCAAAAAAGCAAGAAAATAAGAGAGGGTGGAAGGAAGGGAAGAAGTGAAGGAGGAAGAAAGGAAGAGAGGGCAGGAGAGAGGAAGGAATAAAGGGACTGTATCTTAAATATGCTGCCAGCTTCAGAAAAAAAAGAAAGAATTAAATGGCTTGGTGACAACAGTGGCAAGAGAAGAGAGTCTGTAGGTCCATGCTGTGGTTTACCTAAAGATGAAATGGGCAGTAAGCACAACCTCTTAGAAATTAGCCTGGATTTAGAAGGCAGGCAAAGCTTCGTTGTCAGTACCCCATACCACCCAGATTCCAACAGCAGAGCTGAAATTTGGATAAGGAAGTGGCAGTGGAGGATGAGCAGTCCCTGCACACCTTGCTTCCCGTAGTTGTCCAGGCCTACGGCCTGAAGGTCCACACTGTGAATTTTGCACAGGACTTGGTTCATGGCAGTGTATACGGCTTGCCGCCAGCTGGGCTCCAGGCCAGGCAGGGAGGGGTCTTTGTAGATGATGCCTGGGCAGTACTCCATCAAGTAGAAGGGGGTGCCGATGATGCTGGGAGGGACACAGATGGAGGTGGGGGTCAAGGGCCCACTGCAGTGGGCTGTCATTTTTCTGTGAATGAAGTTTATAAACTGGGCAAAGCTGTACCTGGCATCCTGGACATGCTGGGCATTCCTTGCTCATAAGTGCAGAGAGCTGAGAAAGCCCACTCTCCCAAAGATATACACTCTTATACACACCCACTTGCCTGTGATCTTAGCCAGTACACTCCTATTTTTCATTGGTCTATGTGTAGAAGCCATTGAATAGGTTTAAATGTGATAATGTATAAAACAAAATGGCTGAAAGGAGTTGTTTTTGGAATCACTGAGAACCAGGTTTAAATCCTACCTCTGCCTTTTACTAGCTCTGTAACCCAAAGAAACTTACTAAGCCTCACGAGGTTTATTTTTCTGTGCTTTACTTGAGTCAGGGCCTCACTGTGTGGTACAGGTTGGCTTTGAATTCTTGACCCTCCTTCATTAGTTTCCAGAGTGCTGGGATTACAGGCCCAATCACTAAGTCCAATTTGTTATTGCTTGTGTGTATATGCATGTGTGTGTGTGTGTGTGTGTGTGTGTGTGTGTGTGTGTGTGTGTGTGTGTGTGTGTGTGTACACATTTGTGTGTGTATATACATACAGCACATACAGCACAGGTATGGAAGTCAGTTGGGTGTCAGTCTTTGCCTTTCACATATTTTGAGACCTGTTTCTTGCTGCTCACCTTTGCACACACCAAGCTGGCTGGCCTACAAGCTTCTAGGGATTCTCCTGTCTCTGCCTCCCAAGTCTCATAGGAGCACCAGGATTAGAGGCAATCATACTATATGGAACCCACTGTTATGTGGGTTCTGGGAATTCCAACTCAGGTTCTCATGCTTGTGTACCAAGTACTTTTACCCCCAGTCCCTATGGTTTTATTATTATTATTTTTTAATCTAAATTTTATTTT